GGGATATAGCTTCACAGGTACAACCTCTACTGACAGAGAAAGAGACCACAGTGCTGTTTGTTAGTACTTTAAAGCCTCCCTATTATGAAAAGATGATAGGGAATGCAACAAAGAATTTTGCTGACATGGTAATCTCTGGAGAAATTATTGAAAGTGCCATAAAAAATGGCAAGTTGAAAGGAGGAGAAACCAAGAAGGCATCAGAAAAGAAAGAAGCTGAAGCTCAAGCTGTGAGTTTTGATAGACAACAATTCGGGGGTTATCAACCCTATCCATCCCAAGGTTACTCTCCATACTATCCTGCTGTGAATAATGCCTCATCCTACCCCTACCAGCTAGCCCCACAACCATCTTATTCATGCCACTTACCGCCTTAACATTCAAGCTCCTGTAAGAACCCAAATTCGTCCTACTCACCCAGCAAGTGGCTCACGAGAACAACGGACTACTCGAGAAAAACCTGTATTTGATCCAATCCCTATGACTTATTACAGAGTTTATATCGAGACTCTATAATAGCCACTTGATTGCCCCCCAGCCATGTGGAACCACTTAAACCACCCTATCCAAAGTGGTATGATCCTACAGCCCGTTGTGACTATCATTATGGAATTACTGGCCATTCTACTAAAAATTGTACTGCTTTAAAGTATAAGGTGCAACGGTTGATCAATGATGGAATGGTAAGTTTTGATCAAGGAAAAGCAACACCACCTAATGTTAGTGTACTGAGCGAAAGTCAAGAACGGGAAGGATCCAGAGATTCACAATGAATTGAGGGGCAAGACGTCAATGGAGATAAGGCTGGTTGAAGGTTTCTTCTGTCATTTTGGGATTTCTTTTCAAACAATGTTAGATTTTTTTTGCAATATGACTTCACTTGTTATCATTTTAATAAAGGCAAGTCAATGCATTTCATTACATTTTTCTCTTTCACTTGACCATTTATTCCGTGCCTTGTTACCTTCCATAACTTCACATTCCTATTCTTAAATTTCAGATGATGAATATTTAGACAATGATAACAATAATTCTGGGATTTAATTTTGAGAACTCATCCACGTCAATGTGAGGAGATGATTTGAGCAAAAAGTAAGCTGTTACTGAAAGTGAAATAGATATATCTTGAAGATGTGCAATCTTTTATACAAGTTCATGAGCTTTGTTCAATAGATGATGTTCAAGAAAGGTATTCACAACTGAGATAAAAAATGGCCATCTTTCTTTTACCATTTGAAAAACCATTTATTGTTACCCATTTGAGCTTATCATTTTTTTTAAGAACCCCAACCAAGGATCACCCTCTACACTGGAGGGTAAATTTTGAAAAAAAAAAGAAAAAAACACACCACAAAAGGTCTCAAAAATGGAAAGAGAAAGAAAAGCAAAAGAAAAATAAAAGCCACACATGACTTGGGGCAAAGTAATGAGAATCTTTTGTGTGAGAAAAAAAAAGTAGTGAAACGATGTGGGGGTAAAATGCCAAGCTGCATCAAATGATCCTTCGGTCTTGAACTATTTTTAATATATGTTTTGAGCCTATTATATCTATTTTTTTTATGACCCTTCACCTTGGCCTACGTTACAACCTTGAAAAGTCCATTTAGATCAAGTGTGAATACTCAATTTGAATGATCATATGTTGGGCGAAGGCATGCTCATGAGGAAGTAATGGAATCATGCTACATTACTCTAAAGTTTGATGTATGAAGGATATCAACAATAGATGAAAAATGAGGAAAAAAAGATGATGAAAAAAAAAGAGAAAAAAAAGAAAGAAGAAAAAATAAAAAAATGAAAAAATAAAAAAATAAAAAAATGAAAAAAGAGATCCAAATTGAAAACCTGAAAGGGTGATTTTGGTACCAAAAAAAAAAAAAGATCCAGGTCAAATGGCTCACGTGAATGGAAGATCAAAGACATCTAAAGATCCCTCAAAGACTGGGGCAGAGTTCGTCAAGCTCAAGTTGACTTCAACAGTAAATGGAATGAGTTTTTGAAAAAGAATCCTAGATTAATGTTGAAAATTGTCTGAATATTCATCATTTGGACATACCATTCACCCCAATGACATGTATCTAATTTATTTCGTTTCCCATTTGTTTTGTACCAAAACAGATCTTCATTATTTATCTTTACCATAATTCACCTTGTGTTCTCTTATCATTACACCCTTAGAATGAATTGAGAAAATGCTTGATTGCATTGTATTTGTCAGGATTTGAAATGATAATGAATGAATGAATATGTGCTTAAAAGAGTCTTGCATTCATTTGAAAAGAAATCTAAGATGATGGTGGAGACAAAATGAAGAAATGGTAGAAACCTAGAGGAGATGATTTAGAAGGATATATGATGTGATCAAATGAAGAAATGGGGCAGTGATACAATCAAGTGATGAGTACAAGGATGAATTGATCGAATGGTGGGAACAATCAGTGGACAGAGTTTGTTTTGGAATGGTTGATGCTGAGACAAAGACCCAGTGATGGTGGATGAAATTTGTTTTGAAATTTGTTTTGAAATTTGCTAGTGCTGAGAAATTCATTGAATGATGGTCAAGGGATTATCGATTGATGAAGCTTATTCCAAAGTATTGAGAAACTAAACAAAAAAGAATGTGAGTGAAAAAGACAATTGAGAGCTACACTGGTTCAATCTTAGAAGAGCAATGTAATTGGATCCCTGAAGAATCAAAAGGCTGGATGCTTAAGAAAAGAGCTTGAGAAATTTGAGTACCATACATTGAATAGGAATTATTTGGCCAACATTTGCATAACATGCATTGAAATTCATATGTATTTGCATAGCATACACTACTTTCAGGAAAGTATAGTGTACAAATTCAAGAAGCAGGGGTGTTCCAACATCCCACATGAAAAAGACAGATATGAAAAGACTTTGCAAGTTTGAGAAGAAACTTGTCAGGTAAGTTTCTAATCCTTGAAATAGGATGTCTCTTGGTATCAGGGTTGATTTATAAGACCTTTAGGCATAATCTCCTGAAATCCCTTCAAACATAACTTTCAACTCCTTCGGACATGATTGTCTAGGAGTATTTACTTTTCAAAGTTTGTTGCCTCTGTTTAGAGGAGCAATTTACTTTCCAAAGTCGTGGTGCCTCTGTTTAGAGGAGCAATTTACTTTTCAAAGTTCGTTGCCTCTGTTTAGAGAAGCATTTACTTTTTCCAAAGTCGTGGTGCCTCTGTTTAGAGGAGCAATTACTTTTCAAAGTCGTGGTGCCTCTGTTTAGAGGAGCAATTTTACTTTTTCAAAGTCGTGGTGCCTCTGTTTAGAGGAGCAATTTACTTTTCAAAAGTTCGTTGCCTCTGTTTAGAGGAGCAATTTACTTTTCCAAAGTCGTGGTACCTCTGTTTAGAGAGAGCATTTACTTTTCAAAGTCGTGTACCTCTGTTTAGAGGAGCAATTTATGTTTCTCAAAAGTCGTTGAGCCTCTGTTTAGAGGAGCTTTGGTAAAAAACAAAAAAACAAAAAAAAAAAACAAAAAAACAAAAAAAAGTTACCTCTATTTAGAGGAGCTTTGTTTATGTTTCTCAAAGTCATTGAGCCATCTGCTTAGAGGAGCTTTGATCATTTAAAAAAAAAAAAAAGCAAAAAAAGTAAAAAAGCAAAAAAATGGACAAAAAAAAAGTTGCCTCTATTTAAGAGGAGCTTTGATTTATGTTTCCTCAAAATCATTTAGCCCTTTGCTTAGAAGGGCTTTGATCAAAATTTAAAACAAAAAAAAAGGCAGGCCAAGAAAAAATGGGCAAAAAAAAAATTCGGTTGATCATAAAGGGGTGTCTACGTCTTTGCACAATTTTTGTTTCCCAAAAATGTTGCAAAGAGGAGCAGCATCTGTGCACCAAACCCATTTTGTCCGGGAATTCTTGTCATTTGAGACCTAATCCAAGCTCAGTTGCAGGGATTTTATTCATTTTTATTTTATATTTTTTTATTTCATATTTATCATTCTTTTTATTTTATGATTTAT